TTAAAATATTATGTTTAGTTTTCTTAAATATAGATCTAAAGGGGAGCTTATAAATCTCAACTTTGGACTATTTGACTCAGGGGGAGCTTACAAACCTCAGACTCTAATGTTACTAAGAAAATTAAATAATTTTTCTTGAAAGAAGTACTTAAGGCGGGTTTACAGAACTCAACTTTAGACTATTAGACTCAAGGGGAGCTTACAAATCTCATACTCTCATGTTGCAAAGAAAATTATAACTGTCCAACATTGTCCTTTAAATACTTATGTTTGTCATTATCAGAAAGGGGTAAATTGTTAGAACAAGATTTGTTTATGACATATATTCTTTGGACTTTGATGATAACAAAGTATTAAAAGAATAATAGTTATATTTGATGTGTGTTTCATGTATGCAGGTTCTAATACTTGTGTGTGTGTGTGTGTGTGTGTGTGTGTATATATATATATATATATATATATATATATATATATATATATATATATATATATATATATATATATATATATATATATATATATATATATATATATATATATATATATATATATATTCCGAATTTGATATACAAGGGCACACTTGAGAAAAGCTGAATTGCTAGCTTTTAGTGGTGCAGGATCTGAAAAACACTCTCTAAGTGATGCCAGACGTAGACTCTGAAGCTGAAGGTCTCAGCATCAGAAGAAGAAACATAATTGTTTCTACACTTGGTGAGGGAAGTCTTGGACCAGAGGGGCTTGAGCAGGAAGTCTCGGGTCTGAGGGACCTGATCAGGAAAGTCTTAGGTTGAGGGTCTAAGCAAGGAAGTCTTGAGCCTTAGGGGTTTAAGCAAGAAGTCTCGGACTTAGAGTTTGAGTATTGTAAAAGTCCTATGCAGAATGCATAAGCGATTGAAATCGTGTTTTGATTATAGTGAAAATATCTTGTGAAGTAAGGGGATTGGACAACTCTCATTTGGGAAGAACCGATATTAATCTTTGTGTCTTTTACTATTGTTTATTTGCTTCTGTTAATATTCCGCTGCTAAGTAATAACCAAAATATGAATACCAATTTAGACTCTGAACTCTAATCAGACGCAAATTAAGAAAACAGAAAATACAATTCAACATCTTTTTCTTATATAATTTGTCTCACATTCAAATCATTTGCACCCACAAACTTGACTATACCTCATACTCCACATGAGGTCCACTAAAATATGAATCAACACATCAAAAGTTTTCAAAAATTTATCATAAAAAATTCATGTCTCATAAAACAAAATTCATACATCAAAAAACATATATTCAATCACAAATTTCACATTATTACAAAGTTTATGGGTATTGATCATAAAACTCACGCTAGGGAATAGTATATAATGTATGCAAAAGGAAAAACATTCTATAAAAATTATATAAAGTTCAAAACTAAGTATTTTAATTATGCAATAAAAAAATAGATCGTATAACTTTTTATGATATTGAACATTAAAAAAATTATCATCGTAAGTACGTGTTACACATTTTTATTTTAAAAAAATTTAAATAAAAAGTTATTATATATATATATATATATATATATATATATATATATATATATATATATATATATATATATATATATATATATATGAACTTTAAAGTGTTACACATTTTTATTTTAAAAAAATTTAAATAAAAAGTTAGTTTAAATAATTTATCTTAATATATTATTTTAGATATTCCATCCTTTTACAATAACTTCTTTTAAATATCATAACTAAAAAAAAACTTAAAGTTACAATTATTTTGAATAAATATTTATAAAATCATTTTTGAAAAACATTATTGTTAAATTTTTTGTGATTTTAACTATGTTTTTAATTTTCAATAATATATATTTATATTATTTTATTTCAAATTTATGTTTTAATTTACATAAAATAAATATAAAAAAAACTATATTTTGATACAAAAAAATATAGAATATAATTATCTTATTTATATACCTATTTTAATTATTTATAATCAATTTTATACTAAGGCACATATGTCAAACTTTTGTGTTGCTATTAGTCCCACAATATAATAGGCTAAATAAATTGTTTTTATATATTTTTCTCACAATTGCTATGTAGAGAATCAAAGTAAATCAAAGTGTGGAACTCCTTAGCATGAATATAAAATATATTTTGATGCTTTGGGAAAAGAGGCATGATATTGATAAATATGAAAAATAGTGGATGTTTTCTACCCAATGCGTGAACTCACTGTATCTCATGTGGACACCTTCCCTTCATTCGGAAAGACAACAAAAAGGGTCAAGATTCCTTTCCCCATTCCTCTACTATTTGTTTGCCAGCTATCGACCCAAGTCTTCTTTTCCTTTCCCATTGACAATAACTCATCCAATCCACTTTTATTTCCCTCACTCTCACATACAAGTTTCTACCGCTTTCATTATTCTTATTGCTATTAATAATTATTAATCATTTCTAGTTGAAGCAACTAAATTCAAACATGCTTTTAATGATTGGGTTTGACAAAGTAAAAAATCGAAGTAAATTGTCTGAATATTCGCAACGACCCTACACAATTACTATATTAAAAATATTGAGTCTATTAAAAACAAACTATTTATATTTTATCTTTTATTTAATTTGCTCTTGTATACTCCCCACCCAATATTCATAAAACAATTTCACTCTGAAAAATGCCTAGTATAATTGTTAAGTACCGGATTTGTTTTAAATTATAATATTATTTTAATAATGGTGTTTGTTCGTAAATATAAGTTTTTTTTAATTATATATTTTTTGAATAAATTATTTATTAATATTATAAAATATATGAATAGTATAATTTGAGATACTCATTCCATATATAAAAAATGTTATAAGCCATGCATAATTTTTTAAAAATTGATTAGTTGTGTTGGTCTTAATAATTAAAGTATTAATATTTATAATAATATTGTTTATCATAATAAATGTTTGAGGTAAATTAAATAGAAGCAAATTTATTAATCTAGAGTTCAATCCATCATTAATTTATATTTATGTATTAATTTAAACATGTTGTTTATATTTATGAATCAACAGTTTTTAATTTTTTTAATTATAATATTTTTATTAATTATAATTAATGAAATTGTTGAATATGATAAAAATTAATCGAAAAAGATATGATTGTGAAAAAATAAAAAAATAAAAATTAATCAATCTTACTGATTACCAATCATCGTGTATATCATCAAAACAAATTTACATTTTAAATTTATTTTTGATGACATAATATATTCTTAATTTTTATTAATCCGTGCATATTTATTAAACTCAAAATAATTAATTGCATTATTATCTTTTGACATTGAAAAATTGTGTAAATAAAACAATTTTAATGAATAGAGAAGATATGAAAACTCTTTTTCATTTCAAATTAACGTTCTCTTTCAATTTTAAATATAATGATTAATTATATGATTTAAATATAATTTTAATCTTTCTATTTTAATTTTTATAATTTTTCAGTCTTTAAACAAATTACTTAGGTACTTGAATGTGTGATGTGGACTTGACGTGGCACCATGTCATACAACTTTGTTATATTATATATTTAATAAGTAAAAGTTAATTTTATAATATTATTTAATTATAATATAAATTATTTAATTTTAAAAATTACAATTATTTAATGAGATTAAAATAGTTAATTATAATATAAATTATTAAAATATTTAATTACAATTATATATTTAATATGATGAATATATTTAAGTGAAAAATTATTTTACACTATCTTCTAATTAAAATGAATCGTTTTGACACATAAGAAGAGAAAAATATGAAAGAAATAATTATTAAAATAGTTTAATTATAATTTTTTTAATTTTTAATTTTAATTATAATTTTTTTAATTTTTAATTTTAATTATATGTCAAAATAACTTTATTTTAATTAGATGGTAATGTAAAATAGTATTACACGGACGTTGTATTTTAATTAATCTTTTCTTTAATTATTTTAAATTAAAAATTTAATTGAAATACAACCATTTAATCATAGATGCATGATAAAAGAAATTTAACTTTTATTTTAATGATGACAAATTGACACTGTATATAATAATTAATATTCTAAATTAACTAATTAGAAGATATTAACATATAAAAATATAATATTAATATTAAGTAGTTAATTATTTATGTATTCAATATTAATGTTTCAAATTATATGAATGTAATGTATGAAACAAAATTACTGAATGTTGAATTTCTTCTCCCAAAATCTATGCTCTCTCTTTTCTCTAATCACTATACATCCCTAGCCACAAAATTGGAGAGGGTCCATAAAAAAGTTAAGAAATATAAATAAAAAAATTAAAAAAAACAATTTTTTTTAAAAGAGGACTAAAATATTATAAAAATCAAATTAAACGAATAAAACTACATTTAAGCTTAATTATATAAATTTCATTTATCAAAACGAATAAGTTTAAAAAACAATAGACGACGAGTGACTGGTAACCAAAAATCATAACTAGAAACTATCAATATATAATCATCGTTAGAAACTTTTTCTTCTTCAAAGTTAGTGAAATTTTGACCATTAGAGTATTCGAGAAACAAAAACGGATGAATTTAATTCAATTAAAAAGAGCGTTAGTTAATTAATTAAAACTCACAATTCAAATTGAACTCGGTCTTCCCTCAATCTCAACATTTAATAATGCGCTATTTCGAGAAAGATTAAAGATAGTCAAATATTTTTAGTCAAAAAAATAAAGAGAGTCAAATTTTATTTTTTATCTCTTAAATAACGTTTCATCGAACGAACAAAGAAAAAACCAGAAAACAAAAAAAAATTGAAAAGGGAAAGAAGCATAACTCTAGATACAATTGAAGCAAGATTTTCGATTCTGTGAATAATCCATTACAACAAAATTATCTCTCTCAACCTCATGAATGCTAATATAGATTATTAAAATCTAAAACAAAATCTAAACCATCAAGAATTAATATTAAAAATAAAATAAAATTCAAGTACTGGAAGTAGAAGAAGAAGAAGGATCCGAAGCTCTTGGAGAAGTAGTTGGAAACAGAGGAAGCAAACGAAGTTCAGAGTCTCTTGGAGTGTTTCCAGGTGAAGGGTGTAAGAAAAACCCTTTCTCTTTGATAGCTTTTTCTTCAGCTTCAGTGTTCAAAACCGGACTCGGACTCGGACTCACATTCTCGCATCGGTAACCGCTTCCTCCACCACCGGGGACGGCGTTCCTGTTAAACGGGTCGGGTATAAGAGGAGTAACAGGACTGAGAGCAAGTGCGGGAAAATCGAGGATGCTTGGTGACAGAACATCAGCGTTACGAGGAGAGAAACCAGAAGGGTTTGAGTTATTTGGAGAGAAAACAGGTAGCAGAGGGTTGAGTTTAAGATTCTTGAGCGAGTTTCTTCGTTCATAGAGTTTGAAACCAGATTGGTTCGGTTTTTTGGGTATGGTTTTGATAGGTGGAATATGGTTTCTGCTGTTGTTGTTGTTGCTGTTGGTGGTGGTGGTGGTGGTGGAGTTCGAAGAGGTTTGTTTTGCTGTTTCAGCGGATCCGGTTAACATTTGAACAACCTGTTTGAATGAAGATGGGTCAGCTTGAACAAATGTTGTCGGGTATGGGTTACCCGGTTCGGATCTGGTTACGGGTTTTGGTAGGTTCAAAACTGGTTCATTGTTGATGATGTTACTGTTGGTGCTGCTACTAGAACTCTGGCTATAGCGTGGTGAAGGAAGAGAAGAACCGTTTCTTGGAGATTTGAGGTTGTTGTTGGAATCCATGGTTATGTTGACTGATGGGAGAGAGAGAGAGAATGAAAGAGCACTCTTTGGGACCTTTATTTGGTTCGGTAAGAAATGTATTAGTAGGGTCCTTTGAGACTTGAAAATGAAAACATTTCTCTATCTATGTGCATTATATAATAAGTGAGTTTATGTTTATGTTTATATTTTTATATATTTTATGTAGAGACATAGTATTCAGTTTTTGGGGGAGAAGAACCAATCACATGTGTCATTTTTTTTACTTTTGATGTTTTAATGTTTTAAAAAAATTATTTTATATTCTTATTTGGAATTATTATGTATTGAATTAGTTTTTTTATAAAGTTTTTCTCAGGACTAAAATGTTATATGAAATGATTACTTATTTTTTAACAAATAATAATAATAATAATAATAATAATAATAATAATAATAATAATAATTTTAATCTTATCTATTAGTTTAGTCAACATAATATTTTTGTTAAAGAAATGAAATAAATTTGGGTCATTTTTATTTAATGCCTGAAATTTTTGGGATATTTTATTCTATAGACGAATATATTATTCCATATTTTAATATATTTTTACTTTTTTATGTTGAATATTTTTATAAAAGATTATAGTTTGATTTGTGTGGTAAAATAAAAATATTATTGGTCAATGACTAGTTTATGGAGAAAGTGTGATATGAATATGAGTTTTATCTATTTTTTGTGTGTAAAATGGTGGAAAAGATAATAAGAGTCTATATTTACACTATTACTAAATATAAAAAATAATATTTATATTTGACCATCTTTAAAAACGTTTAATATTACATTCAAAAGATATAACTATTCAGCGTTCAAGAAATTGTTCTTAATACAACTTCTCAATATATAAGTCATATTTTTAAATGATTGAAAAAAAAAGGGGTACTTTTAAATAAATAAATTATTTAATGATTAAACTTAATGTCTAAGTACATTTTTTAGATGAAAAAAATTACAATAATTATAATTTAATCGTGTATCCTCAATGTACCGATTGTGATTTATCTCAATAACAATGATGAACTTTTTATTAATATCACAATTTGTAAAAAAAATAAATCTTTCATTCAAATTTTTTATAAATAATTTTACTAATTAACAATTAAAAAGAAAATGCATATAACTATATAGATATATGTATACCTTTGCACTTGCAGTTATGTGTTAAAAATTTCTAAAATAACTGTATTTTTAAGTCAATGTTTTTTTAGATAATAGTTGTTTCAATTCAATATTAAATATTACAATTAGATACATTTCCATATTTAAAAATGAATAAATATTTGCGTGCGCATCGATAAAGTAAGGCGACTTTAATTTGATTTCTTTGTCGGCACGTGAAATAATGCAAACATGATAAAGTTGTATTGGAAATTTATTGGTAAGGCGGATAATTTATGAATTAGATAAATTCAATGCTACTATGTCAAAAACGACAATCTCATGATAATGTCAATAAAAACAACGTGCTTATGGATTTAAAGTTATTCTCAAGCAAAGAACCAAGGTTCAACAAACCCTGGAATTGCATAAAGCTAACAGCAGTAAGAATTTTTCCACGAAGAAAATGTCTCATGCTATTAAGGAATGTCATCAAGAGGTCATGGGGAGAGAGTTGCTTTAAGGTAACGTGGCGAGACCGCAAGCTCAGTTTGTCTTATGGATTGCTTGCCATGAAAAGCTCGCAACTAGAGAGAGACTATACGCGTTCGTTTAATTGATAACGACAAGAGATGTTTTTGTTCTCATGTTAAAATCTTACCGCGTATCTTTTTTGAATGCATCTCCTTGAAAAAAAATGGAAGGAGATGCTCAATTGACTACCCATTAACCAGTCGCCTGAAGATTAGACTAGAGAGTTTCAATGGGTGATCAAGGAAAGTAACTGAAAAGGAGCACGAGCTAAACTTAATGTCTAAGTAAATATTTTAGATGGAAAAATTTACAATAATTATAGTTTAATCGTGTATCCCCAACGTACCGATTATGATTTGTCTCAATAACGACGATAAACTTTTTATTAATATCACAATTTTTAAAAAATAAATCTTTAATTCAAATTTTTTATAAATGATTTTACTAATTAACATTAAAAAAAAAGAAATGCATGTAGTTATATAGATGTATGTATACATTTGCAATTATGTGTTTAAAATTCCTAAAATAATTGTATTTCAAGTCAATGTTTTTTGAGAATATAGTTGTTTCAATTCAATATTAAATATTACAATTAGATACATTTCCATCGAAAAAGTAAGGCGGTGCAGGAGTCGAGTAATGCAAACATGATAAAGTTATATTGGAACCTTAGTAGTAAGGGGATAGTTTGTGGATAAGGTAAATTCACTGCTACTACATCATAAACGACAATCTCATGACAATGTCGATAAAAATGACATGCTTGTGGATCCTCAAAGCTATTCTCAAGCAAAGAACCAAGGCTCAACATACGCATGAATGGCAGGAGGCTAACATCAGTAAGAATTTTCCCACGAAAAAAAATGTATCATGCTATTAAGGAATGTCATCAAAAGTTCATGTGGAGAAAGTTGCTCTATGGTAATATGGCTAGACCGTGAGCTCAATTTGTCTTGTGAAATGCTTGCCATGAAAAGCTCACAAGCAGAGAGAGACTGCACAAGTTCGTTTAATTGATGTTTTTGCTCTCATGTTGAAACCTTATCGTATATCTTCTTTGAATGCATCTCTTTGAAAAAAATGGAAGGAGGTGCACAATTGGCTGCACTTTGACTGGTCGCATGAAGACTGGACTAGAAAGCTTCAATGGGTGATCAAGAAAAGCAACGGAAAAAGAGTACGAGCTAAACTGCTCAAAACTTCTTTTGCTGAAAATGAAGCTTGCTATGGGGACAATGTAAATAATCCTAAAGTAGGACAATATATTATAGATAGTTTGATCTACATGACTTGCGTCAACCCTAAGTTGAGAGACCATGTAGCTAGACTAAAGATGTATTATCTTAGGTTGAAGGTTTTGATTTCTTTTGTTTTTTGTTGTTTTCAGGCTGAATCGATTGGTTTGCCGGATGTTTAGTCCTATTTTTAGTTATTAATATCATTTTTGATTGTTTCCAAAAAAAATTAATTTACAAGTTACACCAAATCAAAACTATCATAATTTACATATTTAATATTTTTTTTTTTAAATAACAAATAAAAAAACCATTAAAATATCACATATTACATCAATATACATATATACATAACTTTTAAAAGAATTAGAGTCAAACTTAAAATAACTTAAATATTGGACTTTTCTGGTATTTATACTCATTCAAATTTGGTTCGCATTAAATATGCTTTTTCAATTTTTGAATCTTTTAGATTTGTTACCTGTGTTTTTAGATTCATTGTTATCTTCATCCTCTGACTCAAAACAACCTGCGAGACAGATTGAGATGGTTCTTCGGACTTTCGGTGGTTGCTTCCGTTAGAGAGGTTTTTTGGCAGACAGTTTTGATCTTATCTGATGAACATGTGGTTCTTTTTCGCTGTGATCTAGATTTGTTTTGCTCGAAAGAGATTTTATGCTTGACGTGTTTTTATCGTTGGGAGTTGTTGGTATATATGTGAGTCTCTTCATGTTGACGGACAATTAATTCGCCGTTACTTAATATTGTGAAGACTCATACGACATTTTGTTTACTAGTTGGTTTCGTTCATGTACGTAGGTTCATTGGATAATGTCTTTGTTGTGTGTGTTTTTATTTATTTCCTTTAAATCATTGTAGCTATAACTTGTTTAGGATGCTTCTATTTTTTGTTGTGGTTTGACTTAGTCATATTTTTTTGCCCCCTCAATTTTTGCAACGTCCTTTATTTTTATTTAATCTACTAGTGGTTTATATAAATAAAATTTACCTTACTATATGCCATAGATTTAATTAAAGATTAAATAAGTTATTGATCTTGATAAATATTTTAAATTTTATTTTTGATTCTTTATCAAATATTTTAGAAAGTTTGATTTTTCATTACCATCTTTTTCGCACGTCTTTATTATTATTTATTTATTTAAGAGAACCTAAGTCCAAAGAAAAAGAAAATTACAATATACATTCTACCTATGTTAGTGATAAAATAATGCAGTAGAGATTGTAGATGTTTTTGATTGGCTGCATTTTATGGTAAAACATGATTCTGCACTGATGTTAAGCAAGATGTTATGACATCCATCTACTGTGGTGACAGAACTGTTGTCATGCGTTTTAATCAAGATGTCAAGACAGATGTCGTGACATCCATCTGCTGTGGTGACATAACTGTTGTCATGTGTTTTAATCAAGATGTCAAGATAGATGTCGTGACATCAATCTGCTGTGGTGACATAACTGCTGTCATGTGGTTTAATCAAGATGTCGTGACATCTTTGTCTAGTACAACAGGAGCTGCTATTTTATATCTCTTGACAGAGGTGGTTTGGTTTGATGAGATCCTGTTGGATATATCTCATCAGTTTGTGCAGGTCAAAGAGATTTATTAGGAACAAAGTGCAGATTTAGTTGGTGTTCATAAAAGGATCTTTGAGACTTTTTAGGAAACTATAATATATTTGTTTCTACTGTTATGAAGAATATTCTGCAGGAGTGTACTGCAGGGTAAGTTTGGTTAGCTAGAACATAGTGTATTGGATGTCATGCTGAATGTTATGACATCAGGTAGCTTCCAGCAAGGGCGCTGTTTGTTTTCCTGTTATGGTTCCTGATATATCTCAAGCTAGAATTCAGGAAACCTGTTATGGCTCATTAGTTATCTCAGGCGAGATTCTAGTCAGGGCTGGGCAGAACATGATACAGCTGTGACCTAATTCGTACCATCTGAATTAGGGAAATTGGTTTAACTTGGTTAAACCTAATATATGTTCCTTAGGCCCAAGATCCATACGCTGCATATAAATAAAGAAGTGGCAATCCTGATTGTGGACAGACTTAGAGATTGTGTCGTGAAGAGTTCGGTTGGTGTA